TTTTGTTTAAGTTAATTTTGAAAAAATTGATTGCTTTTAGTGATATTTTGATTTTATGTTAAAACTAGTACGTGTATTACACGGGTGCTTGTTAAAAAATTATTTTTAAATTTTAAAATTAATGACAAAACTATATTAAATTTAGTTTACTTTTTTACAAAAAAAAAAATATATTACTATATCTTTTAGAATGATATGTGTTACTTATGACTTACATGTGTTATATTATATTAATTTTTATAACTTATATCATATAACTACTTGAAATATAAATATATTAGTTGATAAATAATTTTATTTTTCTAATTAATATTAAAAATAATTTTATTATTGTTATAAAGATAAATATAAATTATTATTTTTTATACATACAATATGGATGTTAAATCGAAACTCATCAAAAGAAGATTAATTCGATATATTACATATGTAAAACTGATAAAAAATACAAAAGTTATTAACTTTTAAAATATATGTACAGTTCAATAGTTATAATAAGGAATGATATTAAAATACAATTAATATATGTAACATGATCATAAATAATTAACATATTTATGGTAATCTGAACCTAATTATTTTTTGTTTGGAATTAAATTAAAATTTACCCAAGCCTAATAACGAAGCATGTAATTTTGCCACATAGGATTCCGAAGCACCAGAAGCAGCCACGTAGGCTCAGCGCATTCTGTATTAATATATAGGGGGGATACTATTTAAGATAAAATAATTAAAGTTGATTTGATGTGAAAGTATAAGATAAATGATGTGAAGGGATTTAATACTAAAGTATAAGTGATAATTAGAAATATGTTAGTGGATGAATAATGATTTAAAGTTGATGTGATGTGTAAAAATGATTACTTTGTATTATAGTGATGTAAAAATTCTATGGAGCAATCGGATTGTTTTCTTATGGAGTCATCCATCGATTAATATATTGACACATGTCAAAATTGTATTTATCGTATGACACGTGTCAATATACTATTGGTGAATAAGTGTGGATTGCTCCATAAACTGAGTCATCCGATGGCTCTATAGCTAAACTGTATATAGATAATATTGAAGTTAGTGAAAGTCAGGTTAAAACTGAATTAAATTTTGAGTATGAATATAATGTGAATGGATTATTTTGTAAACATTGACGCAACTTCGGTAATGTGTGAGACAAAAACAATCGATGGTATTTTCATTATTATAGCATATAATTAAAATCTAAATTCCTAGTGAACATATAATTATAAAGTGAAAAAAGCTAGCTAAATCAAAGCAAGTAGATTTAGATGGAGTGGATTAAACCGAAATTCTATAGAGCTATCGAATGATATTCTTATGAATTCATTCATCACTTAATATATTGACATTTGTCTAAAATATATTTATTGTACGACACGTATCAATACACTATTTGTAAACAAGTGTGGATGACTCCATAAGTCGTGATGACTTCGTAACAAAACTGGTGGATTAAAAGTAGATGATGGAGACGAGGCCGCTTTGACGTTCTTGGATAAGTTCGACAGGCTCAAGATTTAGTTCTAGTATTATTTTGCTATCTTTATTATTTTGTTTCCTTTCTTTAATTTATGTGCTTTCCTAGTTAATGGTTTTATTTTAGGAAATAAATAATACTCTTGCAACATGTTAGACAAGAGTAGGACTCTTTTATTTAAAGGGAGGATTATCTTATGTAAGGGACAAATTTTGAATGAATTAAAAATTAATCGTTTCTTCTTCAGAGAGAGTATCTCTAAGTTCTATCATCGTCTTGAGAGAGTATCTCAAGCACCCAACGCACACGTTCTACATCAGTTGGTATCCAGAGACCAGCTATCGATCCACGATGCCGCCTAAGAAGGATACCGCCATGGACGAGAGAATTCAACGACTGGAGGACCGATTCCGGGGCATGGATGATCGTCACGCAGACCTTTCAGCCGGTATAGAGTAGATACGGTCGACGATGCAAAAGATGATGGCCGAATTTCGTGCGAACCGCGACGGGACGGACCGGGGCTATCGCGGTGGGGCTCGTGGAGGTCGCGGAGGTCGAGGGTTTGACGGGGCGCCCCGTCATCGATCGCCGCCGCCACTACATTCCGGTGAAGACTCCGATGAGACGCTCTCGGGCGTCAACCCATTTGCGGCAGAGACTCGCGATCGGGCCAGGGGCGGGCGCTTTCCGTCGCGTCGGGGTCGCGACCACCTAGGGTTTCCGACTGAAAGGGACGGGAGGCGGCCGAGGGTTACGCGTCCAGTGGAAAGTGAC